TCTTTCTTTCTTTCTTTCTTTCTTTCTTTCTTTCTTTCTTTCTTTCTTTCTTTCTTTCTTTCTTTTGCAACTCAATTGTTATAATACTATATGTGCTTTCAAGTAATGTTTAATTTAAAAAAAAATCTCATGGTTTTCTTTTCACTAAACCAAACCATGACTTCTCTTGTTGGATAACTGATGTTCTGTTCTTCCACACAGGGGCAGCTCATGGCCTGTCGTCCATTCTCCAGATGCTTCTTTCTTACCATGAGCACCTCAAACCTTCAGATCGGGAGCTGGTGTGGCAGAGTGTGGACTTCCTCATGGAGCAGGAACAGAATTGCAACTGGCCACCAGAGCTTGGAGAGACCATCGAGAGAGAGAATGAGCTTGTCCACTGGTGCCACGGCGCTCCAGGTCTCCCACATACTGTTGTCTGAAAACAGGGCCCTTCATCCAGCTTACACAAAGGGGGGAGGGGTTCATCATTCTAATATCTGAGAGTATTTCTCACCAAAGATCATAAGTATCAAATTGAAATTTGGGAAAACTAAAAATGCCTTGATCTTTAAGATGCTTCTGAAAAGTTTTCCATAGGTTGAAAAAGTACATCTCTTTATCCATAATGTTAGATAGCATTCCCTTAAAATGTAATGTGAATTGCATATGTAAGTGCAACCTTTTAGGGTATCTGAGTAGTAAGACAGAGAGATTAGTATACTCAGAATACTGGGCTTGATTCCCACCAGAAGAATGGGTAACCCCACATTCAAAAGCAAAAAGAAATGGGTAGAATTTATTTTAATAATATATAATCTTTATGTTATTATGTCAATAGGATACTAGTTGAAAACTAGAGATGGCTGAGGTAGAGGCAAAGTTTTGTTGGTAGAGCACTTGCCTGGGACAAAGAAGTACTGGGTTTAATATAGAACATTGAAAAAATGGTAGTACACATTCTTTAAAATATTGAAATGTTTAAAATTCAGTGTCGATTTTACACTTCTATAACATGCTAATAAAACGCTACATTTCCAAGTCTTTTTCGCTAAAATGAAGGTGTTCGTCTGCAGCCTGATCATTTTGTATGGTGGCCCCTGGCCTAGCAGCATGGCAGCTTGTAAATTTCTAATCTCAGACCCCATCACAGCCCGTGAGTCACAATGTGTATTTAATCAGTACCCTTATGAAATTTGTGTGAACCTTTAAGTATGAGAGGCAGCGTTTTGAGATTCATGTTCAGTTGAGTCTTTCCAGTAATAAATAATCAATTTTCTAAAGAAGTGAAAATCCATCCCCAGTGAATTAATTATGAAATTGAGCCTTGAAACTTAGACTCTATTAACTACCTCTCCTTAGCCTACCTTTTCTAAATACTAGTACACTGCCAACTAACTAGTCCTTTGGAGAAGGCATAATTTAAAAGAAGTTAAAACAAATTCAGTTAGGTGAGAATGAAATTGAAAATATCAAATAACACCATTGTTAAATTTGCTCTTTGACAATTCCATGTGTATATAATGGTTTATAATTACTTTCACTTTCTGGAATTTTTGATTATGAATTAGTTCAGGTTTGGAAGGCTGCTTTAAACCAAAGAGCATAATTTTAGATTACATTTGATTTATCTTTGCCTTGTTTCCTGATTTTATTGCCTCCCTTCTACCTTTAATGAATGTTCTTTAATCGAACTAGAGTTCTGTTTTCTCCTTGATACAGTTTGAAGTGATGAATAATACAAGTCACTGTCTATTGCAATATTTTCTCTGCCTGCCACATTTAGCCAAGGAAGCAATAGCAAATCGTATTTATGAAAGTACCAGGACCTAGTACATTATGTTCAGGCTAACTGCTGCCAGGTATAATTTGTGGCCATTACTTCTTGCTTTGACCTTTTTTGGGGGAAAACAGCACTTATTTACTGTCCTGGAAATGATGTTTCCTGTTATGCTCAATAATTCTATTTCCTGTATTCCTCTTAATCATTCTTGGTGCTGGGCTCTGGATGTTCTCCAAGCATCCCAGCACCCTCGAATTTTGTAGATGTCCCAAATTAAATGTCAAATATTTATAAAGGACTCAGTGTGCTAGTAAAAGCCCTTAACAAAGATAATCTACTAAAATGAGTAGGCAAGCCTATTTTTGATGTAGGTGGTTAAATGGTAATTGTTCTATTCTTTCTATATTCCAGCTGTTTCAGCACATCATGTACTTTGACACAACAGCTTAGGATTTATGACATTGGAAACTTGGTTTATCCTTTAGCATTCATGCTAAGTGTTTTGAGAAAAGTAGCATAAATACATTGATTCAAAATAAAAACTATTAAGTGCATGTAATTACTAAAGTATCAAAACAAAACAAAGCAAAAGGATTCTCTAATGAAATGAGGCCCATTATTTCTGCTAACGCCAGCCCTCACCTAAGCGTGATTGTAAAATTAATAATTGCAGGTCAAAGACAGTCAAGTTCTTGCTGGAGTTGACCACAGTAAAAATTTCCCCAAATCTAATAGGAAATGAGCTAGAATAACAATTATGTTTGTTTGAGGGAAAAATATCTTGAGAAATAGACTGATGAACAGCACAGATGGTTTGGGATGACAGGTTATTCCTGTGATTAAAAACCTGCCAGAGACAATCTACAATGTGGAACTTCATTAATGCTACCTTATCCATGCCTCTGTTTCTAGTGACTTTCTTTCAGCCCACTGCACACGTGCCCATGTTATTATGTGTGAAATGTATTACTAGTTTCTGAGTATAGTGCAACAGTTCTGATGTCTTATTGTAGCTCTATCACTGACCAGCTAAGTGACCTTGAGAAAAGTCACTTATAAAAAAATCTGAAATAAACTCAATACTTTTGTTACCGTTGACACATTTTTACACCTGGCCCTTTGCCATTCCCAAGGGATGTATCTCAGATGCTTTTAGAACACCCACATTTATAAATACCTATAGTGACATATAGCTTTTTCTCAGTAAACGCAATTAGTATTGCAGGAAGACGCATGTGATCCCTTCATAACCTTGAGCACTCTGAAATAACAGGAGAGAAGTCATTTGCAAAATCATTAAAACAAATGTGATGGCTAAAATAACCTTCCTGAGTGCATCCGGTTACAGCGTGCTTCCTTTACTCTGTGTGAAACACAGGTGTGAGCAGTTTTAGCAATTCATTCCGCAAAGGCTCTTGGGTAGGTGACTTTGAACAAAGAAGCGGAGCTTCTCAAGTGCAGGTTGGTAACTAAGTTTTGTAATGACTCAGCAAAATTACACATCCTAACCTGAGCCTGGGCACTGATCCTCCATTGTGTTGAAAGTGTATATTCTGCCTGTCAGGAGACTCCGGAGATCCTACATTTCAATGATTGAGTCTCCCAAACTATCTTTATTAAATTATAATTAAAATAAAATTTAAAAATAGAATTAAAACATAATATAAATGAAAATAAATTATAATAAAATTAAAATATTTATTAAATTATAATTAAAATAAAATTTAAAAATAGGATTAAAACATAATATAAATGAAAATAAATTATAATAAAATTAAAATATTTATTAAGTTATAATTAAAATAAAATTTAAAAATAGAATTAAAACATAATATAAATGAAAATAAATTATAATAAAATTAAAATATTTATTAAATTATAATTGAATTTTCTGGCTGTATTTGGCAAAGTCATATACTGTCACTGACTTGTGTTCAAATCATTGAATGCTAATTAGTGATCCTGGGAAAATTTTGTGATAGTTCCCATCACTATCAAAGAAACCTGACATCCTTCCCCTTAAGGGCCAGAAGCCTTAGGATTGTTTCTTTTAGGCCAGAGTAGGATCTAACAAATTTAGAACATTTTCAAGCTCCCTACACATACACCACTTTGTGATCCCAGGATTCAAGAAGAGGTCTTTTTCCTGTGGCCAGAAACTTAGGATCCATATCTTGTTGGGGACTACTGGCTTGGGATAGCAATTAAACTATCTATCTTCTCTACATCTCTGCTCTGCTTTCTGTGCCAGCTTCTGCTAGGTAATAAATGAGGTATCACAGGGCCATTAGACATTTGTGGGACTATTTGATGGCAAAACACCATACCACAGATGAGGAAAAAAAGAGACAAATATGATAAAGTCCCTGCCGTTTGGTGGTGGGCCTTATAGTAGTGGAGGCAGATGCAGAAGCAGATCGTTTTAATTTGGTTATGTATAAGTGTTACATTATGTATACTGTGAGATAGGATCCAAGAAGAGAGATTTCTCATGCCGCCTCCAGATTCAGTGAAGGCTTCCTAAGAAAGCGATTCCTGGGTTAAGTTGTGCCAAGAAAAACAGGAGGCTTCTTCCAAGAATAGCATGGGCACTGAGATGTATGAAAGCACTGCAGGTAGTCCGGTTTAACCAAAGAGAAAAACTTCAGTCAGAAAATGGAGAAGAGGCTAGCAAACACAGAAGATGTTGATCATGAAGGGCTTTCTGTATCATGTTAAGGCACCTGTATAATAGCGAGCCCTTTAGCTTTTCCTTGACTGAAACACTTCTAGAAGCAGAGCATACTCTCAGGGGAACCTAGTAAGCCACAGGGTTGTAGGATAGTGAAACTAAGGAAAACCAGAAAAATGTGGCTTTCCACTTACTCTGATACCGAGGGATGCTGATAGGCATAAGATATACCAAAAATCTGGTTCTGTCTTGCAGCATGGGAGCAGGTTGTTTGCATCCATCTATGATAGTAAACTTTTGAGGGCTGAATACATGCTATGGCTTTCCATTTGCCTGTGAGGAAATCTCCAAATATGGGAATCTAGGAAGTGTGTTAGCAGCCAGCTGTTACAAGAACCCAGATGTTTCATACTTGCTGGTGAGATAGAGGAGAGCTGAGTCAGGTACCCCACTGGTTCCTGCTCACACTCCAGCACTCAGATAATGACAGTGCCATAGGCCTTTCCTTCCATCAGGTGTAGAGCATGGACCCTCCTGTGTGTTCCCATAGCTATGTTTGTATATTCATAGCCAGATTAAGCTCAAAAAGCCATTAAAGATGGTGGCCTTTTGAAATCGTCATCTGCTCTGTCGTTCATGCTCAGTTGGTATCTACACAGCTACCATGTCCTATGAAATTACTCTTTGACACGTTTTATTTTCACCTATTTGCCAACAAAACCAGCTCAGAGGTATCTTGCCTTTCTTTAGGTCTTTTCTCACAATACTGTGCAGGGAGAATCACATCGTTATGCAAAACCCAAAGCCAACCAATTCATAACAAAGAGACTTTTAGTAGTTCCCTATTACCCACAGTGTACAGTCTAAAATGCCTAACGGAAGCTAGCGTACCAGCTATAATCTAAATTCATTCTTCTTCCCTACTGGCTTCATGGGGAAGATGCTTCCACACTCATCCTGCGGTTTAGTCTTCATGTCTCTGAACCTTGTAGCCTCTGTGATCTTGGTACCTAATATGCTTTCCTTGCCTCATCCTGGGCCCAGAATTTCCTCTGCAGCTTACAAACCCCAGAAAATCCCTCAGGACGATTCCACTTTGTCTGATCTCTCTTGTTTCACTGACAGTACCATTCACCACATGTCCCAGCAGCAAGCAACACAGACACATGCCTTAAATTAGTCACAGTGTCTACCTGAAGGGCATATGCCATTAACATTTATTTTAGATTCTTCGGTGCCAGGACTAGCTATGCAATTTGGGAGACCTAGTACAAAAAAAAAGTAATTTAAGAAAACTATTAAGAATCTCAAGATAGTAATAGCAGAAAGCCAGCATGGGATCCTTTGAGGGGCAAGTTCCTTTGCTCCTGACGCTTGCCTTGTATTATGGTCACACAAAAAATTCTTCTCTAGCAAGCTGTACATAAATGCCTTGGTTCAAAGCAGCAAAAAGCAGAGAGAATCTTAGTGGGTGAGCTCATCAAGATACCTACCCCATTCAACGCCTTTGTTCCCACTTTTTAATAGAAATTTGGAGGGGCCTGAACACAAATCCTAGTACCTCATGTAAGCTACGCAAGTATTCTACTACTCAGCGTGTTTCTTAGCCCTTTTCTGCTTTCTACATAGGAGGAAAGTTGGCTATGCAGGAGGAGGCAGAGTCATTCTGGATTACTAGTCTCTTTTACTGTGAACATCCAGATGCAGCCACTTGGAGAATATAATCTCAGTGAATAGTTGTCGCTTCTTGTGCTTCTGCTCGTGCTTCTGTAGTGGGGTACCACCTTTGTTGACAGGTTTTGAAGGAATGTTTCCTTCTATGGAACACTGACCATGGGCAGGGCTCACTTCAAAGCTGGAGTAGACCTCTTATTGAGGTTGTTTGATGTTTATGCACTATTAATCTTGGAAAGACTCCTAGTTTTGTTCTTAAGGAAAAGGGTATTGTTATAAGTATGTAAATACTGCAAATTCTCACCTTCCATGGGGTAATTAGTAAGCCGTGTAAATGGCCCTTTCAAACATGTTTACCAGCATGTATGCATTATTGAATATTAAGTCATATATTATTTGTAAAAAAAAGGGATCATATTAGTTGATGTACTTCAGTGAAAATGTTTATCTTTCTCCAGATACAATTAAACTAATCACACAGGAAAAAAACATACTTTCACAGAGAACGTTGTATAGTCTTGCTACCAAAACCATAGTGCCTAGAAGCCCATGTATTGGAAATGTCACTAGGTGTGGAAAAACAAAAGAAAACAAAAGGAAATGCAGTGTTTTGGGCCACATTTTAGAGACTGGAGATCTGTGTGGTGTACACCTTTGAGAAACTGTATCTTTTTCAATCCTGAAAGTCACCTCTTATGTCTTTGATGTTTTTACAGGAATTGCTTATCTGTTTGCCAAAGCTTATCTCATTTCCAAGAAACCGCAGTACCTGGACACATGTATCCGGTGTGGGGAGCTAACATGGCAAAAAGGCCTGCTGAAGAAGGGGCCAGGGATTTGCCATGGTGTAGCTGGCAGTGCCTATGTCTTCCTTCTTCTGTACCGTCTTACAGGAAACTCGAAATACATCTACCGTGCCCAAAGGTCAGCTATTTTCATGTGCCTGTTCTTAGAAATCTTTTTCTTTCCCTGATTTGAGACAAGATCTCACATATCCTAGGCCGGCCTCAAATTCACTACATAGTGAGCAATGACCTTGAATCCCTGCTCCTTCCTACTCGAATCCTTGAAATTCTAGGATTACAGGCGTACACCGCCACAGCGCTCTATGTGGTGCTAGGGATTAAAACCCGAGCTTCTCATGTGCTAGGCAAGTACTCTACCCACCAAACTATGTTCTAAGTCCTAGTTTTGAAGTCTTAATCTAATTAATTTTCTAAGCAGGTAATATGGTTACCTAATTTCAAATGTGTAAAAAAAAAAAAAAAAGGAGCAGAGTGACCACCCTCTGCAGCCATCTAATTGACTTTTCTGGAGGCATTATCTAGGTTTGTCTTTCCAACAATATTCCCTGTAAAAAAAAAAAATCAACCATATGGGAATATATAGCAAATTTTATCATTCTTATAGAAGTACTAGTGCCTTGTTATCTTGAAGATCGTGCTATATTAATGCATAAAGGGCCTCTTCTATCATTCTTGTTAAATATTTTACTCCACTTGCTTCTAATATTTTCATTATAAATAATGTTGCCTTTTTAGACCCTTATGGTTGGATTATTTTTTTCCTGTCTTCTGTCTAGGAGAAAGGGAGGCTACTGAGGAGGCAAAGTAATCCTGGATTACCAATCTCTTTCACTATGAGCATCTAGACCTTGCAACTTGGGGGAAATGATTTCTATTAAGAGTTGTCACTTCTCTTGTTTCTCCTCTTTCTTGTCCCTGTAATGGATACTACTTTTGCTATCAAGTAAATTCCTAGAAGTGGAATTTTTGAGCTAAAGGGTATATATATATATACCCTTTATGTGTGTGTGTGTGTGTGTGTGTGTGTGTGTAAATATATATATATATATATATATATAT